CGCTCTTTCACAGCTCTGGCTGGGTAGGAGAGCCCAGTGAAATTCATAGGCAAGTCCTGTTCTAAAGGAGAGAACAGCCCTTTCGTGATGCCCTTGACCCTTCCCAGCCCCCTGGGGCCCTGCCTCAAGTCCACACCCCTGAGCCCCACTCCCCACCCTCTCCTGCTCCCTTCCTTCTCGGATCCAGCAGCTTAGGAGCAGAGGGCTGCAAAGGAAAAGGGACACACACTATCTCTCTCTCTCTCTCTCTCTCTCTTCTTTTAAAACTTCATTCCCACTGAAGAAGTTTCCTGATTTGACACCCCGGCACCCCAGATGTTTTGTGGCTGGGAAGAAAGAACGTGACATCTATTATACGAACTTTTGCTTGCTTTCTTGATTGCATTTTTATGCAACAACCGCAGGGGATTAAAAGGCTGCAATCTGGAGAATGAGATGGGGGTGAAGTGGGGGAGGGAGGGGGGAGTGGCTTTCCCCAGGGAGTGGGTAACCCTCCGGAGGCAGAGACCAGTGCTCAGGGGCCTCTGCAGTCAGGTGACCCATCTCTTGATGCCTCCATGCTTTTCCTAGGATGGTTGGTCCTGATGTTATCCCACTGCCCCACATCTACGGAGCGAGGATCAAAGGCGTGGAAGTGTTCTGCCCTCTGGACCCGCCGCCTCCCTATGAAGCTGTGGTGAGCCAGACGGACCAGGAGCAGGTACTATTCGGAGTTTCTCTCCTGCACAAGGACTGCAAGTAGGAAAAATGGGCATGCCTCACACAGAACGATGGGTGAGGCTTGTTCGTGTACTTTTTTTGACACACACATACACACAGAGAGAATGCGGACCACACGCACCTTAGGCTGGGTTCTCCAGAGAAACAAAACAAGGTAAGGGTACTTGTGTAAATCTGGACAGAGATTTATTTCTAGGGCATGACTCACACCGCTGTGCAGGCTGGTAAGCCCCACCTGCATGGGTCAGGCATCAGGCTGGAGGCTTCTCCTGACTCACAGGACTTCAAGGCCTGATGAACCCCGCATCTGCTGGCCAGACGGCAGGCTGCTGGCGCATGTTCCAAATTATAAATGGTAGTAAATAATGAGTCAATGTTGAGCTATTGTGGCTGGAGGTCAGGTGATCCAGAGTTGGATGCAGGATGAGAGAGAGAGTCCTCTAAGATCATCTGTATATATTGAAGGCAAACCACACCCCAAAAGAACCCCCCCCCAACCTCAGGTCACAAACAGGAGGATAATTATGTAATACTGAGAATCACGGCATTGACACATAGCCTTAGCATCACGCCAAACACTTGCAGTTCAGCAATTTTTCCATATAGAATGTAGAGACATGGATCAGCCATCATCACTACCTCTTTCCTCATGGTCCCACCATCATGAATCAGAACTGAGCAATGTGGTCCCCCTTTCTCCCAACCTTGGTGACCAATAGTAAACTTGGACCTTCATGCATTCACCTATTCCAGAAATGTCCTGTAAGTGGGATCATCCTTTTGTGGTAGACTTAGGATGATGTTCTCAAACTCCATCCATACTGTGGCATATGTCAGAATTCATTTCCCCTTGTGGCTGAGGAACATTCCACTGTGTGGGTATACCACATTCTGCCTGCACAGCCCTCTGCTGGGTGGACGTTGACTTGGCTCCACCTTTGGGCTATAGTGAATTGCCTGCCATGAAGTCGCTGTCTGCTTCCCTTGTCTTCACCTCTTCTGGGTACTTACCTGGAAGTGGAATTGTGGAGTCGGATGGCAGCTCTAAAAGAGCCCGGGTGGCATAATGCGCCACACGTTGGGCTGATAACCAGAAGGTCAGCAGTTCAAAACCACTAGCTGCTCTAAGGGAGAGAGATGAGGCTTTTGGCTCCCATAAAGATTTGCAATCTTGGAAAGCCACTGTGGCAGTTCTACCCTGTCGTGTGGGGATGCTGTGAGCCAGAATGCAGCTTATGATAATGCCAAGCTGTGTACCTCCCACCAGCGACGGGAGGGTCCCAGCTTCTCCACAGCCTCGTCACTCTGTTTCTGGTGGTTGGATTAAAGAGTGACAAAACAGCCCCCACCCCTCTTTTTTTGGTCTTTTCCTGCACTGCAGGGGCCTTCATGCCAAATGCCAGAAGGAACAGAAGCTGCGGCGAGCCCGTCAGAACCAGTCTGCACACAAGTGACACAAGGTAATGAGGACACTCTTGCCACCCAAATTGCCACCGAATTATTGACTCAAGGCTTTAGGGGGTCCAAGGAAGGTCAGATGATGACCTGCATGGTATTTTGTTGGGGGCTAGGTGTGCTGAAGTTACAACCTTCTTTTCAAGTACAAAAATATGATTTATTGTGGTTCACAGGGAGTGCTGGTTACAAGATGGGCTGGGATCCACATGGTTGGCAGTTTGAAACCACCAACGGCTCTGAGGGAGACAGACTGGGCTTTCTACTCTCACAAACCCCCTGTCCTATAGGATCACTATGAGTTGGTATTAACTTGCAATGAGTTTGGCTTTTATTAGTGGGAGCTAATATAGGAACAGAAAATTATACCCAAAGTATCTTTTAGCAGCTCTGGTGGTATAAGCGGGTGCAGTTGGACTGCTAACAGCAAGGTTGACAGTTCAAAACTACCAGCCACTGAGGGAGAAAGATGAGGTGGTCCATTCCTTGGAAACCCACAGAGAGCCATGCCACTCTGTCCTATGCGGTCGCAGCGAGTTGGAATCGACCCACAGCTGTGAAGTATCTTTGACAAATAACCAGATGAAATTCCCAGGGCCTCCTGAGATAGGCTGTGCACTTGTGTTCTCCCATCTCAGATTTTTCTTTCTCTTGTTAAACTGAGACAGGTCTTCTGAGGGTAGTGGTGTGTGTGGGTGTGGTGACGGCTTCCTTTATCCCAGGTGAGCTTCTGCTGTGTCACTTAAAAGCTGGGACCCGGGTCCCAGTGTTGCGACATCTAGTGGGGCCTGCTTCTCTGCCCAACATGAAATATCAGAGTTGGTGCGCTAGGAAGGTTTTAAATGGCCTAGGAATTGTCCACTGGGACAAAATCGCCGGCGGTCATAAATAGCGGATCAACTTTCAGCTATTTGAGACGGAGGTGAGTTTTCCTACAGCGCCATTCGGAATAGGCTTCCTGTCTCCTGCTCGCCCTCGAGCTTTCCCCCTTGCCGCTGATGGTGATCGGAGCACGGGGCTGTAGGACAAGTTGGTTTTCCATTTAGCACTTCATACCCATTGAGTGTCCTGAGGTTGACTGCAGGCCCACCATGTCCTGGCTCCTTCCCCACTTCCTCCCTATGTGTCCACCACTCTTCTTTGCTCTGCACCCCTGCCTGCTGGGCGTACGATCAGCCAGACAGAACCAAACCCACTGCCATTGAATCCATTCTGCCTCCTAGTGACCCTGCAGAGGGTTTCCAAGCTATGTTGGTTTCCAAAGCTGTATTCCTTGGCGGGAATCTCCTCTTGCCTTCCTGAAGAGGCTGGTGGGTGTAACATGCCAACCTTGCCGTGAGCACTCCAGAACTGACAGCACCACCGAGGCTAATCTGCTCACCCTATAAAACCAACACCAAACTCCCTGTAGATCTGCCCCTGTGGGTTTCTGTAACCATCTGTGGGAGTAGAAAGCAGTCTTTCTCCTGTGGATCAGGCTGGTGGTTTGGCTGTAAGCTGAGCCATGCAGGTGAGTTCAGTGATAGCCCTAAAAAGTAACCAAGGCCGATGGTCTCGGGGGTTCTTCCAGTCACGCTGGCCTTTTCATTACTTTGAGTTTTGTTCATTTTCTCCTGGGACTGCACCTTGGGATCCCTCTCTGAGGACGCAGCTGGGCACCATCTACTTCTTCTGGTCTCAGCAGGCCTTTGGACTCATTGCCTCCATCGCTTCATCCCTCTGGACGGAGAGAGACCAATAGCGACATTAGCTGGGCACACACGGCCCCATTTGCTACTCTCCTTCCATCTGAAGCAGTGTTATGTTTCTGAGATGTTTGTCAGTTTTCCACTCAAACAAAACTAACTCCAACTCCCAGCCCCACAAAGGTGGTGCTCGTATTTTCCTGGCATAGAAGTCATCCCATTGTAAAGCAGTCTGAATGATTCAGCTAGTGGTCACTGGCTCTTTGTCTGGGCCGTGGGTCCAGCATTCACAGCCCATCATGCACTCTGTTAGGCAAATACCTCTGCCCCAGCATCGCAGCTGCAGCACACTGGGCAGCTACTCCACCGCTGCGGGCTGTACCTCCCACCACACAAAGCTTATCCCGAAGACCCCAATCCCACCCCCGGGGCTTCTACTGAAAGATGGGAGAGCGGGAGCTCAACCAGAGACTTGTTCCTTGCAGCATTGTTCGTGACAGCCAGAGGGTGGAAACCACCCGACACCAGATGCGTGGCTAGACACAAGGTGGCATCTGCATGTGTTAGAACATTACCTAGCCACAGAGAAATGTGGTTGTGATAACATGCCACACTGTGGCTGAACCTCGAAAACGTGGTGCCAGTGATCCTGGTCAGACCCCAAAGGACAAATGCCATAGGGTGCCACTGATCTGAAAGATTTAGAATAGACCAATGATCGGGACCAAAGTTCATTAGGGGTGACCAGGAGGCCTGGTGGGCTGTTTGAGCCCAGCAGCCACTCCGTGGGAAAGAAGAGGTGGCTTTTTGCTTGGATTCTGTTAAAGGTGATTAAAAACCCTTTGGAAATGGGTAGTGGTGACTGTTGCCGAGCACAGTGAGTGTGTCGGCACTGCACACATAAAACGGTTGATGTGCAAAAAGCCACCTCCTGGTCACCCCTAAAACAGGCTTTCTTTTACCATTTTGCCTTATTGGATGCTCCCTGGGAGAAGATTCTATTTGCCATTAAGAAAAACTGACCGTTAGGGCGTGGCTTCTTTATTTTCCTCCTGGTGTTGAAGCTGTGTTTGTTCTAGCTGTGGAGGGTGTGTGTGTGTGGGGGAGAAGCATTTCCCATGGTGCCGGGAAGGAAAACTGCACTGGCTAGTAGCCTAAGATACCGATGGTGCTGCAGCCCCTTCCCTGGCAGGTTTGGTCACACCGGGTTTCCCGATCAACCTTTTGAAGGCTGGAGTGGGTGGGAGAATGTTCTTCTCCTCAAAATTAGGTGGGGACACTCTCAACACACCTGGAGAAGAAAGCACGGCCTTGTCAGGTGCCAACACCAGCTTGGTGCCTCCTGAGAGGAGCCAGAGACCTTTCCAGCCCCTCCGGACGAGGTCAAAGAGCGACCCTGGGCTCCATCATTCCACAGAGAGAGGTGATGTCATCCTTCTTCCACCCCCATTCCCACCCCCAACCCGCTTGTGCTTGTGCCCCTAGCAGGGCCAGGTGAGAGCAGGGGGCTCTGGCCAGCCTCGGCCCAAGTGCCGTCACGTGGATTCTGACTCAGGGCCACCCCCTGCGTTGCAGAATAGCACTGCACTCCATAGAATTTTCAAGCCTGTGAACTTTTGGAGGTAGATTGCCCGGCCTTTCTTCCGAGGCAACCTTTCAGGTAATCGTTGAGAACTGGATTTTCACCAGGCTCTGTGCGTTCTGAGAGAGGTCTTGGGAAAGATAGTCAACCTTGGTGTTTCCCAAAGTGGGCGATACCGCCTCTTGGTAGGGGTGTGGTGGCTGCACCAGGACACCTACACCTTATCCTGGATTCTGGGCTACAGTGCAGTGTGTTTGATTGCCAGCGGGATGCAGAGAAGTTTGTTTTTTCCTGACAAGAGGGCAGTAGGGCAAATAAGTTTGGGAATCTCTCCTCTTCTTAAACTGGGGTCACAGCCCCATAGGGGCCGGTTAATTGACTGTGGCCGTTGTGGAAACTTCGGCAACAGTAAAAGGTTTCTGAATATATAATGACCCAAAAGTAATTCAAAGTCAGTGACTCCCAGGAGTTTCTGGTAGTGCTTGCCCTTGCTGGAAATTTCTTGGGTGAAAGGGGGGCACCCGTGGGAAAAGTTTAAGAGGCCCTGGACATATTTTACATGCTCAGCAGCTGGGATACGAATGGGCTTCTAAAAAATTGTGGGGGAAGTTGGACTCAGAGGTCATAGAATTTTTCCACGAAGAGTTTGAAGCCCCTTTGTATATATGCCTGCCACATCCTTTAAGGCAGGCTTTTTGTTGCCGCTTGTTTTGTGTCTTAATCGTTGTCATCCAAAGGACATTATATGAAAAGGGACAGGAGACGCCTTTGCCACAGGGCATGTCTGGTCCCTTCGTCCTGGGTCTGAGTGATGGGGTGATGCTCTGAATCCGGGCTCTTCCTGAGAGGGGAACACACCCACTCAGCCACCTCTCTCCTCCTGCTGAGTGTGTATGTTCGTAGGCTTTTTGTTGTTGTTTTTAACAAAAGCGATTTGGGATTTAAAAGTAACACCGAGCCTTTTCTCCGACTACGTGACTGCCTGAACATCTTCCAAATATCTTTTCCAGGGTAGAGAATAATCATTGATAGGGAAGATGGTCTGTAATCCTGTGAGCAAGCACGGCCTTCTTTTGTGTGTGTGTGAACTGTCCTAACAGGTGGCCTGGGATTTCCTAAAACTCTATCCAAATAAGGCTTTGCAAATCCTCCTCTCCCCCGGGTCCTGGTTCCTGCCGTGCCATCTCTGTTCTGCCCGTGGGCTTGCCTCTGAGAAAAAGTCTTGTTTCTACAGCGGCAGTGGGCTGGCAGCCGGGACTCTCAGATTGTCCATGACCATTTGACCGGCTGGCCCGTCGGCTCCGGTGGGAACTTAGGTCGCTGCGCAGCTCAGGGAGCTCTTCTGGAACTTTCTCCTCTTCTGGAGGGCTGCAGGACACTGCCTGTGTGAACTCTGCTTTGGGAGGAAGCAGCTTGCCATCAAGTGACTGAGTGCAGCCCTGGCCTCACACTTGCAGCTGTGTGTCCAGTGTTTCTAGAAGGTTCTGGGAGGTTGGAGGCGCCTGTGCCTGCCTTTCTCCAGAGGAAAAGCAGGGCCCCGTTTCCCTCCCTGCGGCTTCCTCCCTCCCTGCATCCTGTGGGGGCCTATCCCAGGAACTCCCGGTGCGCACATTGGTGGCTGCTGCCTGCGGTGGCGCCCCTGGTGGACACATGGAGAACAGGCCGGCTTCCTGCCACCCTCTTGCTGCACCGCTCCGCAGGTCCTCCTCCGGGCTGCCAGGTGGGAGAGGTGGATTTCCCAGCAAGCCTCGGCGGACTTCCAGAGTGGCCTTGACCGGCTCTGCACCCAGGCTCTCTTTGCAAAGCCCTTCTCGGCTGAGCTCGCTCCTATAAGCCAGTCAAGGGCCCTCGTGGGTGTGTAGGACAGAGGTACGGCCCAGGGGACGAGCTGGATGTCCATCGCACAAAGCGGTCTCTCTCGCCCTGAGCAGCTCCTCCATCCTCTCTCTTGAATGTTCTCATTGGCCAGCCCCGTTTCTCTGCCTGCCTCCACATCCACGTGCCCTTACCCCAAGACATCGCTGCTCCGTTTCATTTGCATCCCGGATGCTCTTTGTTCTTGTCTTCATCTTCGGGGTGGGGGTGGGGGGTGGGGAGCTGTGTTTTTGTCACCCAGTTTGGGGCCATGTCTCATCGGCACGACATCGCAGGAGCTCGTTGTCCTGTGGTTTGTTCCCGTCAGGTGGGCACAGCCTGGGGCCTGTGCCGGTGCCCCACGGCTCATGGTCCTTGGTCTCTGCCCGCAGCCGCCCCGGTGCTCAGCTGCGAAGCCGCGACGCAGACGGAAGGCAGATTGGCTGTGGCGGCCGTGACTTTGAGGCGAGGGGCGCGGTGCCGAGCTGTGCGAGCCAGGCCCCGGTCTCTGATAGATTACAAGTCCTACATGGACACCAAGCTGCTGGTGGCCCGGTTCCTGGAGCAGGCCTCCTGCCGCATGACCCCAGACGTGCAGGAACTGGTGGAGAACATCAAGTCCGTCCTCAAGTCTGACGAGGAGCACATGGAGGAGGCCGTGACCAGCGCCAGCGTCTTGGAGCAGGTAGTTCCGGCCTGGCCCGGGCGGTGGGGGCGGGGTCATGCTTCCCAGGGAAGCGGGGTGAGCAGGTTGGGAGTGGGGAGAAGGAATGGGGGAGAGCGTTCCTGCCAGTCTCGGGACTTCTTGGAGCAAGGAAAGTGAGAGCGGTTATTCTGGGGTGTGCATGCAGGCCCCAGAAAGAAGGGGCCCCTGGGGAATCAGAGCAAAGGATGTGGCCAACAGGGAGGCCACCAGGCAGAGCCAAAGCCATCCCCAATGCTGGTTTCTTACATGGAAGGGCCCCAGGGCACGTTGTGGGCTCCGGCCCTAGCATTGGCATTCACATGCCTGTTTAAGTGTTGGACAGATAACGGAAATCAGTAGCCCTTAGAAGGGTGAACCCACTTCTCTCCCCTATATAGCAAGTGCAAACCAACCCCGCCCACCCACTCCATGCCATCCAGTCCCATCCAACTCATGAACCCACCTGGGTGAGAAGATAAAACTGGGCCTGTGCGGGGGATTCCCCTGGATGTCAGCGCCTGGTTTTTATAGCAAAGGGCTGGACCAGGCAACACACACTCACTTCCAAGCATAGCTACCTGATAAGCAATAGGGCGACACCCAGCCCAGTCTTGTGCTTGAGCCTGGGGTTTCAGCCACCGTGTCCGTCTGGCTGGCTGAGGGCCTTCCTCTTTCCACTGCCCCACTACCTTACCAGGCACGCGGTCCTTCTCCAGGGACCAATCTCTCCTGACAACATGTCCAAACTGTGAGATGAAGTTTCTCCATCCTTGCCTCTAACAAGGAGCTTTCTGGCTGCACTTCTCCCAAAACAGATGTGCTTGGTGCCCTAATGCAAATGCATAGATGCTCCTTCAGTCTCCCTTATTCAGTGTCCAACTTCCACATGCACACGAGGGGGCTGCAAAGACCATGGCTTTCAGTGACTACCCCCAGCCCCCAACTCTCTTCCTGGGAAGTAGTTGTCCAGGCACTTCATGCCTCTGGATGGACAGACCCCGGACCCTTTGTTTGCAGCGAAGAACATCGCCTGTTTGGGCCTCCCAGACTATGGATCTTACAGGAGCAGACCACACCACCTTTCTCCCACGAAAAGGGCTGGTGGGTTTGGACCACCAACTGTGTAGCTAGCAGCCCAACACAAACCAGGTCAAGGTTACCTGGTTCCAAGCCTAGAGCCGCAGTTCCCACATTTTGAAGTGTACCGGAATTACCTCGGGTTCTTGTTAAAAATACAGACGCTCATCCCCCACTCCGGGCTCAGTGTGAAGGCACCTATGGGTGGGAGCCGGGCACTAGTTTCTGACGAGACCACCTTGGAATGTGCAGCCCCCAGGAGAATCGCTGGCTCCACCCACAGGGAAACTGTAGGGAAAAAGAGAAAAAGAATGCTAACTACAAAGCAGGAAATTGCAGGACACAAATCCGTTGAATCAGGCAGATTTACAGTCGAAACAGTAACAAGTTGGGGCAATTCTAGAACAATCAAGTCTGTCTGCTTTTCTCTGGCTCTCCTCGCCTTTAGAGGCGCCTGGTGATACAAGTAGTTAACAAAATTGCTGAAGGTTTGAGTTCACTCTGAAGCACATCTGCAGAAAGGGCTGGCAATCGGCTCCTCCAAACTTACTTTGCTCTTCAAAACCTTCGGCAGCATAGTTCTGTTCCTGCTCACACATGGAGTATGTGTGTATGTATATATATTTGTATTCTTAGTGTGAGAAGAGCCCTGGTGGCATAGTGGGTTTCATGTTGGACTGCTAACCACCGGGTCAGGAGTTCAAACCCACCAGCTGCTCTAATGGAGAAAGATGAGGCTTTCTACTCCCTTATAGATTTACAGCCTCAGAAACCCACAAGGACAGTTCTACGGGGTCCTGTAACAGTGCTATGAGTCAGAATTGATTCAAGGGCAGTGAGCATTTGGTTTGTTTATTCTTACAGTAAAGAGGCCATCCATTAAAACCATCTCCCTGGTGGCACTGTTGGGTAAGCATTGGGTTGCTCAACCCAGAGTCGATGGTTCACTCCCACCAGCCTCTCCTCGGGAGAAAGATGAGGCTGTTTACAGTCTCAGAAACCCTACATGGCGTCGCTGTGAGTCCCGGATCAACCTAGTGGCTATGGGCTCGGCTTCTGGCTTTCCACGTTGGGTGGTGCTTTGGTTGAAGCACCAGACTGCTTGCTAACCATGAGGTTGGGGACTCAAACTCTTGGGCCACTCCTGGGGAGGAAGCTGGCAGTCTGCTCCTGTCAAGATTACAGTCTCAGAAACTCCAGGGAGCTGCCCCACACTGTCCTCTAGCCAGAATCAACTTGGTGACAGTGGGTCTGGGGTGGGGGGTGGGGGTTCCCTTTTGGCAAATCACCCCTTTTCCTTTCCCCAAAGCAACAAAACATGAAGATACATGGGCAGGTATAGGAGGCAGGCCAATGCATCTTTGTGACACTTCACCTCTGCCTTTCCTCTTGTCCTCCCAAAGATAATGGCCCCCCTGCAGCCCAGCACTGCCAGGAGCTCTGCGCCACCTGCGCGGAGACAGCCGGGCTTGCTGCATCTGCAGAGCTGTGGAGACTTGAGCACCTGTATCCCAGCAGGGAGACCCCGAGCCGAGCGGAGGCCCCAGGGGCGAGCAGAGGCCGAGCGGCCCCACAGCCTCATCGGTGTCGTCCGAGAGACTGTCCTGTGACCCTGCAGGACCAGGTTCCCATCCACCTGCAGCGCAGGGAGGGAGAAGAGAGGGGCTCTGGAAGGCGGGAGCCGCCCCAAGGGGCAAGAGCCCCTTCAAGTGTTCCTCACCATGCAACTTCATGGCTGCAAGTTGGGGGGCCCTTTGGAGAACTCTCCCCAGAGGGGCCGCTCCAGAGAACATCTGTTTCCACTCGTGGGCTCAGTGTTGCGGATGGAAGGCCTTTGAGGGGTCAAGCGGCTCCCCCAGAGCCCGTGGCCTCTTCAGGCGCCATACTACAGGGGCAAGGAAGGGATGTGTCTCCACCACCCTTCCCACTGCTCTGGAGGCCCTGGGCCCTGATCGGGCTGAGAAAGGGGCTAATGATTCTCTGCCTCCTTCCCTGCTCCCACCAGTGACTGGAACGAGGACGTGGAGGGCTGGTCTGCTTGGTGTTTGGGGGACACGATGGGCAACCCCCAAAGGGCCGGAGCAGTCAGGCCTTGCTCTAGGTTGCCCTCAAATCACATACTCTTTAGGCAAAACAGGAAACTTCGGAAGCGGTGACTTTTACTGAAAGAAATATTTAGGGAGAGAAATATCATTGCTCCCATTTATTCGTGCTTGCTGCACTAGACCTAGCTGAGGCGGAACTGAGAATAAACATGTTTACTTTGCACCCCTGGGCTTGGCCATTTGTTTTTGTCTGGCACTTGGAATGTCTTATCTCAGGGAAGCAGTGGTGGCCAGGGCCCCCCCAAACCAAACAGCTGGTGCAGCTCAGTCAGCTCCAACCCACGGGCACTTCCTGTGTACTGGAGCAGAGCTGTGCCCCATCGGCTCTCCTGGGACTCAAGTTCAGAGCTCGCTTGACCCCCAGGCCTGCTGTCTGAGGCAGCCCTGAGTAAACACCAACCGAGAACCTTCCAGCGAGCAGCCCAGGGCTGTTGGACCATTCACACGCATGACCCAGGGAGTCCACTTCGACTCCTGGTGACAGATGTGTGTCCAAGTAGAACTGGTCCCAGAGTAAGGTGATCAGATTTTAACATTGGTAAAGCGGGACATCATTGATAAAACTCCTATCCTGGCGAAATAGCCACATCGCAGCCGAAAACCGTGTATACCCTAGCTTGTCATGCATTCTTCCCAAAAATCGGGACTTTTTAAAAACACCACGGGACGTGGGAAAAATTGTTCAGGACTGTCCCGCCAAAAGTGGGACATCCGGTCACCTTACCCCAGAGGCTTCCCAGGGGCTGGTTTTAGGGGCATGCCAGGCCTTTCTTTGGAGGGGCTTCTGAGAGGACTAGAACCAGTCCATCATGGGCAGGGTCCATCGGGTCATCTGTCTCCACCCCTCTCTGGACAGTTCCCCGACACCAGTGTAATCTCCAAAGCACACCCCTTCCTTCGTTTTGCAAGTGTGTGACTGAATGGCTCCGCGGGTCCCAGGAACAAGAAATCAGTGACATCATGGCAGATTGGGGATTAGCACTGTAAAGGGAAGGCGCAGTTAGGAACAAACGGCATGTGAGGGTTCAGAAAGTGTTCTCCTAGGCAGAGGGGAGGCCATGCCAGGCATGGGCACTTGGGGGCACAGTGGGGTGCCGGCTGACGAGGGGAAAAGCAGGCAGCCACCCCAAGGCTGTTGTGAACTCTTGGCGTGCAACATGGGAGCATTTTCAAGGGAAGAGTGGCCGACTTTTCATTTCCATTTTCAGAGGACCACTGTGCACAGACAAGGGTTTAGCTAGGAGCAAGTGAGGACCTGCCCAGAGACCCCCTGGTGAGCTCGGGAGGCCTGCTCCTCCTGGGCTGTGTCCCAGGGGCTGGCCTCACAACAGCCCACCAGGTGGGAGTCTTGTCTCACTTTTCAGGGGAGCAAGGTGAGAAGGGAGCAAGGACACAAGGGGTCAGAGACCACTCCCCTCTCCCACTGTCCCCTCCCTCCCTGTGGCTTCCCCATGCTCCGCTCAGGAGAGAGCTTCCTGGAGGACCCTCAGTGAAATCCCAGCTCCACAGCCGCCTTCCAGCATGGGAGGTAGATGCCACCTGCTTCAAGTTCACAAGCCAGAGGGGGCTGCAGACGTAGATCTGGGAACTGGGGGAGCCGGGGACCAGGACCAATGGTGCTTCTACAGGGGTCTGCAGAAGGGCCTAGCTCCATGCCCACCCAGCACAGGAAACACCGTGGGCCCACCGCCTTCCCACTTCTCTGAAGGCCTGGCCACCAGCTAGATAGCTGCTCAGTGGGCACCGGCTCACTCCCCCAGCCAAACCCTGTCCTTTCGGAGGGTCTTCCTATAGCACAAGCCTTGTGCCTCCCCCGCTCCCTGCACTACCCACACGAACAGGAGCCATGCCTGGTCCAGCACTGCAGCTCACGTTAACCTCACGCCCGTCCTACTCCGACGGCCAGGCCTTTCTCTGAGGCACCTCGGGGTGGATGAAAACTTTTGAGTGGGCGGCTGAGCATGTTACCCATCTGCACCAACAATAGCTTCCTCTTCTTCTGGTACAGCTGCTCATGCCCAACCAGCCTGTGCTGCCCTTCCAGAGGGTGCAAGGCACTCTGATGAGGCCCCACTCATTGAGGCCAGCCCATTTCCCTTACCAGTCTTTCCTCCCTCCCCGTGCCAGGAGGACCTTTCTGACTTTCCCTCGCCTTGGCCCACCTGCAGCCCTTAAGTTCCCCTGCAGCTGGCAGGCGGCGCAGACCTTGATCTGGAAGGCCTGGGGTGGAGAGGTTCCCCCCACTGTCTGGTGAGAACAGCCGGAGAGGTGGTTTCAGCCAGCCCAGGACAGAGACACCCCAAGCAGAAGAGGGAAGCCCCCAGACTCCCTGCCAATGAGGTGCTTTTTACTCACAGCCACCCTGTAGGGCAGAGTAGAATGCTCCTGTGGGCTTCTAAGGCTGTCCATCTTCAGGGCCCCCATTTGTCTGTGGGGTGCAGGACCAGGCCATGTGTACTTCTGTTGGGTAAGGGGTCGTGGACTCAGAACTGACTTCACCACCACACATCTTTCCTGGAGCAGAAAGCCTCACCTGTCTCCCAGGGAACAGCTGGTGGGTTTGAACCACCAAACCTGAGGTTGGCAGCCTCTTTCTTAAACCTGCTGCACCACCAGGGTACCAGGGACATCAGCCTGTGGGGATTGCTTTGCTGTTCACAGGGGAGGATGAGGGGGGCTGCAACCTGGGGTGTTCTTAAAAAAAAAATCATTTTATAAGGGGCTCTCACAGTTCTTATAACATTCCATCCATCAGTTGTATCAAGCATGTGTGCACGTGTAACCATCATCACCTTCTAAACATCTGCTTTCTGTTGGGGCTGGGTCCGAACTAGGCAGCCCCCGTTTGGACTAAGCTGAAGCAGGTCCGGGCCCTGCACATGCTTCTCTGCACATCCCAAAGGTCAGCGGCAGCCGGTGCCAGATAAGATAACCTGTGAAACCAGATGTTCTGGGTTCAAAGAAAGCCACGAGGCATGAATAAGCAATTCTCAGAGTTTCCAGACCCCGTATGCTGATTGCCATAATTGCCATACATTCCTCACCACCCCTTTAAAAACCCTTGCGCCCAGCTGCTGAGCACGACTTCCCTGACCCCTTGGCCTAGGTCATGGAACCTCGTCTGGGAGCTCCCCTGCCCCCCCAATAAAGCTCTTTCTGTTTCTGCTCTCCCTTGTCCTGTCAGTTATGTCCATCTTCCTCCCTGACCCTCAGTTCCGACTTTAATTTGGTGCGTGAAACCCGGGAGAGGTAGGGACATGGGCTCCGTGCTGTCCTGGCCCTGCTTCGGCTGGGATGCAGCCCCCCCCCCCCCCCTTCTCGAACCCCGGAGCCTGTGAACGAGCGACTTCTGGTCAGTATCTCTCTGTGTATGTTCGTTCTGTCTTGTCTTGTTTGTTGCTCTGGACACCGAGGACCAGCAAACTCATACGGGAACATAGGGTCCGTGGGAGGCTAACTAGTTGGAAGCCCTGAAAAGCAAGTACGCTAGGGAGCTGAACGTGGCACCGCTGCAGGGGTTTATTCTGCACCCCCAGTACCAAGAGGAGCTGGAAATAACTGCCCTTCCCGGAAAGGGGTGTGGCGATAAGGCCAGTTTCTCGTGTCCATCTTTTCTCTGTGTCTATCTTCTCTCATGTGGCCCCCGGCCTTTTGTCTCTGTGCTTACCTCCTGGGATTCCTGCTGATAACAGGACTCCTAGCACTAGTCCGAGCAGTCACTGCACCTTCGGACTGGACTGGAACGCAGAGCGTGTGCCTGAGCCCTTTCTACCTGTCTGTGTGTCTGTGGCCCTGCAGTGCTTTCTCTGAAACTTTCTGCTTCCCCTACCTCTCACCCTGAACAAAGGCCTAACGAAACTCCCATTTTACAGGCTGTAAAGCCAGGGCCCCTCCCCCTCCTGGGCTTCCATTGTCTCTCTCTGATCCGAGGTCCCTGTCTGCCGGTTAAAGCCGCAGGCCTGCGCCAGGGAATCTTCCTGTTCCAGGGAGTCCAGGACTCTCCCACTGGGCCCCTACCTCTGACAGGGACACCTCTCAGGGTTACTGGGCCACCTCCTGATGGAAGGGTGCGAATGGGGACCAGGGGACGCCCTTCTCCTCTGTCCATACCCCCTGCAGTGTGAGACACAAAGTCTTCTGTCCCAACCCCCTAAGGACAGTCCTTTGGGGTGCCTACTGCCAACCTTACTGAATTGGGTTTGGCTCCTGGTCTCCGCCCTACATGCCTGGTCTTTTTCTGTAACCAAGTTTGGCCTCAATACCAATTGGACATGAGTCGCGCTAACCAGAAAATAGCACTTTCAATTTTAAAGTTCCCCGCAACCTCAACAATTTTTGTCAACAAACTCACAAAGAATCAGAAGTCCCTTATATTCAGGTCTTTTTCTTTCTTCGCTCCCGTCCCTCTCTACTACCTGACACCCTGCTCAAGACCTCTTAGCCAACACTCTCTTAATCAGGCCCGGACAGTACTCCCCTTCCATCTTTCTCCGATCCCCTGACTCCTTATCGGTGCCCCCAGTAAGACCTCCTCCATATTCTGGGTACCCCTCACCATGACCTCCTCCGCTACCCCCTCAACTCCCAGAGGCTAAGGCACTGTGCCTCGGACACCCGCCCCCTCCCCGAGCCAGACCCCTCAGACTCCCTGGAGTCTCTCTCTCTCCCCTTCCGGCTCCCTCCCTGCTCAGCCTCCTCTGAGCCAATACCAGCAGCCTCTGACAGACCTCTCCCAGATAGGGAAGCAAAGCACAAATCCATGGTCACCACCCTGACACCAGCAGGAGGGAGGGGTCAGAAAGCTCTGGAAAGTAACAATGTTAATCGCAGTACTTTTGATTTCAATATCCTCTGGAATCTCGACAATTTCTGCCCGTAAACTCACAAATAGTCTGAGATTCTGTATCCAGGCCGCCTTTCCTCTGAGCTCCCGTCCCTCTCTCTGTATTTCCTGCTCCCCTTCCCAAGTCCTCTTAACTAAAAAAAAAATTCCTCTTCTCCTCCTGCTTCTGCACCCCCCTTTGGTGTCTGCCTTTTCAGACCTGCCTGAACACCTTGTCTCCCCTCCTACTCACCCCTCTCCCTATTCTGGCCACACCTGGAGCCCCCACATCCTCTTCTCCTGATCTACCTGCCTCGCTGGGGGAACCCTAGTCTGCACTG